AGTCAAAGTCTGCTCTTCTGAAGTCCAGGGTGTGTATTTTGCTACTCTCCTTTCTTCCTTTGGTCAGGATCCTGATATCTACCATCTCATGATCACTGCTTCCCAGGTTGTCACCCAGCTCTACTTCCCCTACTAATTCTTCCCTGTTTGTGAGCAGCAGATCAAGCTGCACATGACCCCTGGTCGGTTCCTTCAGCACTTGTACCAAGAAGTTATCCCTAACATTCTCCAAAAACTTCTTGGATTGTCTATGTACTGCTGTATTGGTCTCCCAACAGATGTCAGGGTGATTAAAGTCCCCCATGAAAACCAGGCCCTGTGATCTGGAAGCTTCTCTCAGTTGTCCAGAGAAAGCCTCATCTACCTCATCCACCTGATCCAGTGGTTTATAGCAGACACCAACCACATCACCACCTCTGTGGCTTCTACCTCTAAGCTTAACCCATAGACTCTCAACAGTCTTTTCTCCCTCTAACTAAACTTAACCCGTAGACTCAACAGTCTTTTCTCCCTCTAAATACTGGTGCTCTGAGCAGTCATATTGCTCTCCTACATACAATGCAACTGCTCCTCTTTTTCTCTCCCACCCGTTCTTCCTGAACAATTTATACCCTTCCATGACAATGCTCCAGTCGTACAAGTCATCCCTCCAACTCTCCGGTATTCCAATCAAATCATAGTTCTTTGACTGGGTCAGGGCTTCTAATTCTTCCTGTTTGTTTCCCAGGCTTCTCACATTAGTGTACAAACACCTTAGATAACCAGTTGATTGCCCTGCCTTCTCCATCCGAATCAGGGGTCCTCCTTTGTTGCTCGTTCCTCCTTGTGATTCTTCGTGGTGTCCAACTTCCTCACTTACCTCAGGGCTTTGGTCACCATCCCCCAACAAACTTAGTTTAAAGCCTTCCTTGCTAGGTTTGCAAGCCAGCCCACGAAGATGCTTTTTCCTCTCTTGGTTAGGTGGATCCCATCTCTTCCTAACAATCCTTGTACCCGGAACAGAGTCCCATGGTCAAAGAAACCAAAGCCCTCTCTCCAACACCATCTGCGCAACCACGCATTTACTTCCACAATTCGATGATCCCTACCCGGACCTTTTCCTTCAACCAGAAGGATGGACAAAAACACCACTTGCTCTTCAAATTCCTTGATCCTTCTTCTCAGTGCTTCATAATCTGCTGTGACCCGCTCAAGGTCATTTTTGGCCGTATCATTAGTTCCTACACGGAGAAGCAGGAAGGGGTACTGAACCGAAGGTTTAATCACTTTCGGAAGACTCTCGCTCATAGCCTGAATGTGAGCTCCCAGTAAGCAGCACACTTCTCAAGATTGCAGGTCTGGACGGCAGATGGATGACTCAGTCCCTCTTAGGAGGGAGTCCCTGACCACCACCACCTTTTGAGGGTAGAGATCATGGAACCCCCACCCCTAGAACTATGCATCCCATGCCTTCCGGTAGATGGTGTTCCCTTCTGATTTCTTCCCTGGCAAGTCCCTGCCAAAGCATTCTCCACTGCAGTGCCTGTGGAGAGAGCCTGAAAGCGATTACTTACTTCTACAGGAATGGGGTATACCTGAGTTAGAACATAAGAACGGCCGTACTGAGTCAGACCAAAGGTCCATCTAGCCCAGTATCCTGTCTGCCGACAGTGGCCAGCACCAGGTGCCCCAGAGAGGGTGGACCGAAGACAATGATCAAGCGATTTGTTTCCTGCCATCCCTCTCCAGCCTCTGAGAAACAGAGGCCAGGGACACCAATTCTATCCCCTGGCTAATAGTTGGCTTTCTTCTCGTTCTAGAGGTTACATGCTGCCAGTTTTCTTCCTTGTCCTGTTCTGCCCTGACTGGCTCTTCAGCCTGCTGTGCCTACAGGATTAAACGCTGCCTTCTATGGAGGAAGTCTTCATCCTCTCTGATAGAACATAGGGTTGATACTTGGGCCTCCAGTCCTCTAATGCTGTGCAGGTAACAACAGAAGACCTATCACCATCCATACCTACCTTCCTTCCTTCCTTCCTTCCTTCTGAGAGATTCCTCAGTTGTTATTAAACACCTCCTTGAAGGGAAGGAGTGTAGTGAAAAGATGTTAAGGAATGGTGAGTGTATCTTACTCCCTTCCCAGCTCCCTCTCCAAACTCCCTGTTAACAGCCCCTGGTTGCTGACTCACTCCTTTATAAAGCACTAGACTGCCTGATAGCCCCTCCCCCTGATTAAGGCTCAATCAGTGAGCAGAGGCATCAAGATTTCAAACCCTGATTAGAAGCTCACAGCTTCTACCTGCCAGCCACAGAACACACTCCCAGGGGAGGGGAGAGAAAAAACAACAGCTAAACACAAGCTCCGCACACAGCAAGAAAACCCCAAACACAAACACACATTACAGACAGACCACTTCCCTCAAGGGTCCTGTATTCGCTTCCTCCTTTATCTGGAGAACTCTCTCTCCAAACTCCCTGTTAACAGCCCCCGTTTGCAAGCTTATGTATAAATTAAAATTTCATGCAATGACTTGTTTATGCAGCTCTATATACTATATGCTGAAATGTCAGTACAATATTTATATTCCAATTGATTTATAATTAATGGTAAAAATGAGGGATTTTTGCAAGCAGTTTTTTAGTGATGTGAACTCCTGAAAGGAGTGCAATTGCGTGGAAAGATTTAGAGCCACTGCACTATCTCCTACCTTGTCTGGGCGCAAGTAGAAACAGTAGCTGTAATTACAGCAAAAAGCCCTTCGGTGAAATAAGAAAACGAAATCAGGGTTATACTATCATGAGTCAACACAGTGAGCACAAGGAGGAGTCTAAGGATTGAGGTGTGTGACTGGTAGTGTCCTGCATATCTGCAGATAACTGCTTTGCATCTGCAGATATTATTTTACATCTGTGGACCGTTTTTGCAGATTGGCTGCGGATACAGATTTTGTATCGGCACACTGTTCTAGCGACTGAAAATATTGTTCTAGCATTTGATTAATACAAATACTTACTATTATTACATCACTGCAAGCACTACTACAGCTGCTCTATTGGGTTTATCATTCTAGTGTTTAACTATTATTTATTCATTTTTTATGGAATGCACCATTATAGTCCCTCTGATGGCTCCACTGTTTGATTATCAATGATACGTTCACTTCACACCTTGCTGCCATACTCTTGGGTTTACAGTACGAACACTTGATTTATGATTTCCTCATTACCACATGCACTGTTTCAGCTGCTATCAGGGTTATCATTCTAATATTTGACTACTACTGATTATAATACGATTGCATGCACTATTACAGCTGCTATTGAGTGTATTGTTCCGGCATTTGATGATTAACGATGAGTCTGACATTATTACTTACAGCTATGGGGGGTTATCGTTTGACCAGTTGCTTATTAAGTAACATTATTGCATGCACCATTACACCATTACAGCTTATCAGGCCAGTTTAATTATTAATGACAATGATACTATTACTGCACTATTGCGGCCACACGATCAGGGCTGATTGTTCCAGCGTGTTTGCTAGCGAGGATCAAAATGTGAACAGCTGCACTACTACACAGTATTGCTGTGGATTTATTAACCCCATCCCCAGTTATTACGCTGTGCACAGGTTACATTACCTATAGCATGGGCCTTGCAAACTTGCCTGGCTACCATGTTCCCCTCCATTCCTGATGGGCAGCTGGGCCCGTGACCCTGAAGGCAGTGGGGCCCTGCCTCCCCACATGTGCCCAGCTGCTCAACCAAGGAGACCTGAACAACATAACAGCTCCTACCCCTGCTCCGGCCAGGCACGCACCCTACAGTTCCCAAACTCACTGCTGCATTGGGGGACCCCTTCTCGGGGAGGCTGCTGCCCCGGGGAGCATTGAAAAGGAGGGGTGCGGGGGTTTGCCCCGGGGGGGCAGTTCCAGAGCTGTTACAAGGAGGGGAGGCTCCCCCTCTGGTGCGCGCAAGAGAGCGGAGGGCAGTTCCCCCGCTGGGTATTTGGGGGAGCTTTGCCCCCCCTTTCCTGCAGCTGGGGTGCCGGGGGGAGCCCCAGCGGGGGTGGGGGGGTGCAGAGAG